TGAAGAAACTGAGGAGGTTTAATATAGTGCCCAACAGGAAAAAATCTTTTTCAAATGAATTCACTAGTCATTGTTTAGGCTCAGGGACTTTTTTCAAGTGTGGAATAAAAGGGGCACAACTAAATCTGACAAGTTCAGGGGAGGCCTGCATGGCAGCCTTACAGACTCAGAGACCTATGGTAACCACAAAGGATAATCTGAAATTGAAAACTTTCTAACTAAAAGCAGGTCATGGTGGGTAGTCATGTCCTAGGCTGGTATCTTCCCTGACAAAGGCCAGTCTTTAACTGAGCCTGTCTGTTATCTTTTTTACATCTATGACAACATTCATTTGGAATGTCAGATTTCCTTTTTCTGGACCCCTCAAGGCACAGGGGCTGGGCCAGGGGAAGATCATGGACCCCCTCATTGTTGTCATGTTAACTGTCGACTATTAACCATCCTGTATTCACCTGTGTACATGTAAAAGTATCTATCATTTTTTTTATCCAGTCCCAGAGGTTTCCCTGCTTTGCCTTCTCCCGCCTCCCTAATCTATCACCAGTGGGTTTCATGTAACCCCCTTACTCCTCCTCTTTTGCTTGTAATGTATAAAACAAGGTGCAAAACTGCCATTCTCTGGAGAGTTTTCTCAACTTGAGGTTTTGCTTCCTAGCAATTGTCATCAGTTGGCTCAAATAAACTCACAAAAATTCTTACAAGTTTGGGTGTTTCTTACAACACATGATATTGCAAGTCCCTCTGGAATACTTTATACTTAGTCAAACTGACTTTAGTGTTTTATAATGATTGATCAAGCTATGATCCCTTTGATTTTTCACATTGCCAGACTGTGGCACAGGTGAGACTTGAACCTGTGCATATCTTCCCTATACCAGAGCCCATGCTTTCAGCCCCCTTTTCTAGGTGGTTTCCCATCACTGAAACATTAAACACAATTAGGTGGAAGACAGTCTGTAGTTCCTCAAAAAATTACATGTAATTACAGTACATGTAATTAAAATAACCAAGAAAAGACTCCAACAAGTTCTATGAACATTGTTCACCAATGTTTATAGAAGTATTGTTCACAATAGGCAAAAGATGGAAACAATCAAATGTCCATCAGTGGATGAAAGAGCAAACAAAATGTTGTCTCTACAGACAATGGAATATTAGTCAGCCTTAAAAAGGAATTAAATTCTGATATATGCTGCAACATGAATGAACTTTGAAAACATTAGAGGAAGTGAAATAAGCCAGATAATAAGTATTATGAAGTACCGAGAATAGCCAAATTCATGGAGACAAAGTAGAATGGTATTTACCAGGGTCTGGGAGAGAGAGGGACTGGGGAGATATTGTTTAGTGGGGACAGGGTTTTAATTCCGAAAGATGAAAAAGCTCTAAATGATGGTAATGGTTGATCCCACATGTGAATACACTGAATGCCACTGAACTGCACACTCAAAAATGGTTAAAATGGTGCATTTTTTATATGTATTATACTGCAAAAAAAGTAATTAGGACTTAGATTTGCACTAAAATATAAAAGTTAGATGCATAGAACAAAATAACAGTATAATTTGGGATCTCCTTTGTAAATGTTAACTTAACATCAATCAAATTAGCAACTCTTGTTGGGTCCAAAGTCCTATAAATCTTACACTTTGTTTACACTAAATAAATATCAACATAAGTAATGAAGAGGAAAATTCTTTCAGTATTATTATCAGATAAACAGGAGATACAAAGTGTCAGGGTAAATTCTAGCAAGAACAGCTTATCTCAAGGGACAGCCAATAATACCTTATCTGACTACATAATTACCTTCAAAATGAACCGAGACACTTTCTGTGAGAAAGAAATCTTGAAATATTACTTGGAAAATTGGTTTGAATTTTCTTCATACCAATACTGGGAATAGTAAACACTTTGAAGGAAATATTAAACAATTTTTCATCCCATATTGGGATTCTCTTCAGCAATATTTTTAAAATAATTAAATTGGCTCATTTTGGTGCCCTAGATTCTGGCCCAGTTTGATTATTTATATTAAAATATGGAGATCAAAATGATATAAGTATTAATGTTAATTGATTAGTCAGTGCTTTCTTCTTTGTTGTTGGTTTTTTTAATTTTTATTTAGTTATTTTTCAAGTACAGTTTTCTGTTTATTTCTCCCATCCCAGCCCCCCTCCCCCATTTTTGTTTCTTGATCGGAAGCTTCATAGCAATCAAATAAAATTTTGCCTTATGCTCAACCCAGAGCTATCAAAGGAACCCAATCAACTTTATTATAAAATTTACTGATTTTTATAAAATTATAGTTTTAGAATATACAAACCCATATTCATCAGAATCTTATGAGACAGGCAACTATTCCTTCCCAATTTTGTTATTGTTTGGACTCTGGATTTGCTTTTTTCCTGTGCTTGAACTTCTCATTGCATTGCTTCTTATCAACTTTCAGACTCTAACCCAAATTTCACCTTTTCAGAAAGGCCAACCCCAACCAGACCCTATCTGACATGGTCTCCATCATCACCCTGCCACACTTCCTAAGATCACCCAGAGTGACTTCCTTGGTGGCAGTTGAACATAATTTAAAGTCATCTGGATTTATTTACTTGTCTATTATTTGCCTTCCCCCATTAGAACATGAGCTCCCCAAGGGCAGGGCAGGGCAGGGCAAGGCCAACTTGTTTTCTACCATACTCCTCACGTCTAGCAGAGTGGCAGGTTCATAATAGGTGGATCTGCCCTTGTGTTTCTGCCTTACAACTGTGTATGTAAGTGGACTCAGAGTTCCCCCCTCACCCCCAGAAGCACAGGCAGACTGCTCTTCTCAGCTCTTCTCTCTATGGGTCCTACAGGGGGATCATTTCCCTGGGCTGGGCAGTTGGACAACAGAAAAGTGGCAACCTAGAGGATTTTGGGAAAGACCTGCTTGCTCCTTAAACCTAACCCAACCAGTCCTAGTTCTTCTTCCAGAGTTTCCTGAAGGCACTTATTAAGTGGTACCTTACTTCTCATTGACCACACTTCAGCGGCTCTGTAACTTTCTTGGGCACCCCATGAGAGATGGGCTGGCTGACTTAAGGAGGACTTAGACATTTCTGTGTATTCTTTTTCTAATGCTATCTTCTAATCCCTTAACATGAAACATATTCTTAGCAAGTTATAAGCATGAAGCTGGCCTCTCTTGCCTACTCCATTCTTCGAGGACACAACCTTACAGGAACACAGGTTGTGTTCTCCATGCACAACCTTAGCCCTGAATCCACAGGGAGCATTGTCAGCCAAACAAATGAAATCCAAGCCTACTTGTCTTCTCATTTTTAGAGATGGTATAATCAAGTAACATCACTGGTCTCTAGATCCTTGCCTACTTGGTAAAACAAAGCAAGACAATAGAATTTAGAGTGGAAAAAGGTTTTCTCAAGACTGTTTTCTAACTAAATAATGTTTTATTCAGGTAGTAATGATGTTCCTGTAAATCTGTAGTGAATAGCTGGGAATAAGGCATACTGATCAGTCAGCTATTTTGTCTTTAAAAGGATCCAACCAAAGCCTCAAAAACTAAGTGTGCAGTAGGCTTCTAGTTGGCCCTGTAAGCATGGCAAACATCTGATTCTTCTCTGATAACAAAACAGAACTTCTTATCTTTAGCAGGCTCATGGCCATTCAAGATTACAAACTAATTTCCCCACATCCCTTGTATGTGCATGTGAATGAAAGAGATAAGCTATAACCAGATCATGTGCTTAAAAGGAGTGGGCACAGCCTCCCTGCCCCCTTCTCCTAGTGTGGGTTTGGCCGTACTGAGGCCCAAGGGGGAAATAACACTCTAGAAAAGGAGAGAAACTAGCTTGTCAGAGCCAGAGTCCCTAACCTTTCAGAGCCACATATTGCCTGCTCCTGATACCTAGTTGTTACGTGAGAAAGAAAAACACAACCATACTGTCTAAGTCACTGGTATTTCAGTTTCCACTCCAGCAGTCAAATGCACATTCCAACACAATCAACCTTCCTTGATGATTTTGATGATGCTTTATCATTTTTGCCAAGTGGCTTTAGCATCTCAAAGTGATAGCCTTCTGAGTTAAGAAAAAAAACTCTTCAAGGTTAGCCTATCTTTTACTTTACCGATGAAGAAATTGAAGATGGGGGGATAAATAAACTTCTCGAGCCACACATGTAGCCGATAACAGGCCTGGTGCACAGATCTCCTGAATTTTAGTTCATTGTTCTTTTCCTTTAAGGTCCAACTAGCAGAACTCCCATCAAATAACTGTGGGCTCCCTCTGGGAGGCCTGGATGACTAATTGGCTGAGATCTGGGGCCCTCTTTTTCCCAGACAACCCATAAACACAGCTGCTATCCTGTGTGGATGGACCAGGCTGCTCCAACTTCCACCACGGGAAGGAGGAGTGACCAGGGGAGGCTGTGCTGGTTCTGGCACACCTCGCTGTGGGATGATGGGGGAATCAGGATCCATGCCTCTATGTCCTTTCTTGTTGATCCTGGCCTAGAAGGTTTCCCACTGATTCTTTTTCCTATGACCTAGCATGTGGACTTTGTCCAGGATCCTGGATCTTGGCTCAGTCAGAGGCTCAGAGAGCACCTACTTAATTACTTCATTCTGTAATACTATGAGTATCCTTTATCACTTACATGCCATTTGATAATGTAAGACATTTTCTATAACAACTAGCAATAGGTAGTGGTAAAAGGGTTAAAGGAACGGCACAAAGAACAAACAAATCATTTAATTTCAAGGTCTTCTACTGACCAGGTGCCCCCAAAACATCTCCCTTTGTACAAAGGGCATTGGTACCATCATGGCTCAGACAGCTGCCCAAAGTCCTATGAAAAGTGGAAGGTAAAATCCAACTATTAGCATCCAAGGTCTTTAGACTTACACTTGCAGTGCATTGCAATATACTTCAGAAACTAAGAGCTTATATTTGAATCTGCAAAATTTTATATTTTATGCACAATTCTCAAACATCTCTTACCATCCTCATTTTCATCAAAAACTGGAGGTTTGCTTGAAGTATTGGCTCCCATGGTTTACTGCTCAGACCTGGCTTCTCCAGTTACATAATCCTGGCAGAGACGTCCATCTTTGTTCAAAGGTGGTCTGGAAGCCTTAGCTAAATATCAAGAAGAGAAAAAGAAATGTTAGCCTTATAATACCTGACAAAGGGCTTATTCAAAAGACCCTGAGTACAGACTGTGTCGGAAATGTTAACTTGTACCATCGTGGCAGAACTTTTTTGTACTAGAAAATGATCATTTCAGCAGAAACAGAACATCAAGCATCTCGGAGAACCCATTTTATGGTCTCATTATGGACCTAGACTTACAAAGGAGAAAAGCAAAATATTTCTACGTATGAAGACAAGTTTGAAATGAAGTCAGAAATACTTTTACAACTATAAAATTTAAAAAAAATATTTAACAAATTGTTTGATGTGTGATCAATTTTAATTTCTTTTTTTAATTATAAAAATACTCTCCCCATCTCTTTTCCCCTGCTCTGGAAAGTATTACAATATAAAAGAAACAAGGTTTGAGTTTGGGCTTTACCACCACAGCAAGTTCCTAAATTTTGCTAAGCATGTTTCTTTTTCTTTCTTCCCCTGAAGTTGATATTGGTCCTTACTGCAAAGACAGATGTAATGTTATTTCATGAGATTATATGTAAAGTATTTTCACTGCATCACTGCTCATAACTGTGAGCTGTTTTGAAGCTCAAATTAAATGACTTAAGTGAGAGCTAAAAAGCACTGGAAAAAAATATATGTTTATGGCTTTTTTTTCCATTTTTAAATCTAATCATAAAGAATTTTACTTTCCCTGAAGTTGGTAAGAAGAGGCAGCACCCTTCTTCTATAACTGACGCTGATAAGTGGCTTTGGGCTGGTGACTTCACCCCTCACCTGGACAGTGGGGGAAACCACAGCGCCTTCCCCAGGATCACCAGCTCAGATATCTATAAGAGCCAGGCAGAAATGCAAATGAACAAACCAGACAAGTGCCTGGTGGGGACATTGGTGACCTGGAGAATCCAGGCTCCATCTGAAAGAGCTCACTGCATTCAAATCTAAGAGACTGCTCCCATTGGCCTAGGAGCTGGACCTTCAGACCTACCAAAAATGGGTAAAGATCAATATTTGATACCCTATTTAAAATTTTATTTTTAGCCATGTAGCCTGAGCTATTCTTATGTATAGAACTCATGTGGTTCATGGGGTAGATGTAGTTCATGAGACAATGTATGGAAGGCAAGTAGCACAATTCCTGGCACATAACATGCAAAGAATAAAAGTTAGCTACTGCTGGTTTTAATAGTAGCAGTATTTTCTTATCATGTATTTTTTTTAGTTTTTATGTATTGATTTCTAGAGAGCAGAAGAGAGATACATCAATTTGTTGTTCCACTTACTTATGCATTCACTTAATTTGACACCTGTTGACTGATTTCTTCTTGGACTTTCTTCACACTTGGGAAATACAGATTAGAGGCATCACTGAAGAAAGAGTCCCTAGGGGACATGGTCTAAAGATGTTATTGAAAAAGAACTTGAGATGTCCCTAAACAAACTGAAAAGAAAATCTTATTTTCCCATTAGAAAAATGTAAGTAAAGCTTTCATTTGGAAGGCAGACTCATTAAGGAAATACTACTTTTCATACTAAAAGCTAACTGCTGGCAAAGTGCCTTAAAGCTTTAAAAAGAAGCATTAAACAGTGAGCAAAAGAGTCAGCAATTAGGAAGCAGCCAATTAAAAGGTATGGGAGAGGGGTGGGGAGGGGCAGGTGGTAACAGGTGGCAGGAGGAAACCCAGGAGGACTATTGAGATCAGAGAACTCACTGTCTCTCCAGGCTCAAGAAGCAATGGGCTTTTAATCCCAGCGGGAAAGAGAGTAAGAAGAAGCAAGTGTGATACCTTAGTGTTCCATCATGGGCCATGAGGAAGCAATCAGGGTTCCCTGTGTATTGTTATTGCATTTACAGTCCAGAATAAGTGGGGACCAGTGTAAGGGCTGAACCACAAACATCATTAGAGAGGACTGGTCCTAAAGAGAACATTGACTTTAAAGAATTGCAATTGTTAACACAGCAGCTGGTGATTGGGGGTGGGGTGGCTACATTCTCTTTTTATTTTGTATGTAAAGCCTCTCGGTACAGTTTTCACACCACACCCCAATCCTGTCATTCTTATATACTTTCTTCACACCTCAGGCTTCTCTCAGGTAGCCTGTCTTCCTGCAACCCATCATTGACCTTGCAGGTTGTCAAATCCGAAGGAGAATGAGAGAGTATTGTAACAATTTGCTGCATTTCAGAATTTCATTATGATGTGCAGACAATTTTGTTCACCAAAGATCCAGTGATTTTTAGCAGGAAGAAACTATGTGAACAGGGGAGGGAAAGGTGGACAGAATTATCAGGTGGTGACTTCTTCATTGCACCTAACACACCGAATCCAGTTTAGAACTGTCTTTCTCTCCTTCTCCCCATGTGGATAACCAAATTAGACAAATTCCCCCACATGCAAAAAGAAATCACCTTCCTCTTCTAGAAAAGTGGAGACACATACTTTTAATTCTGTTGAGTAAGGTCCAGAAGAGCTACAGGACTCTCTTCTGCCAAACCTAACATCCTCTAGCCCTGCTGGTACTAAGTCTGCCATGTAACATAAGCATCATTTCAAAATGTCAAGAGGATAGTCACCACCCATGGAAATGAATCTCCTAAACACAGAAAATATAAGAGAAAGAACAATGTGTCTTACATGAACACAGAAAAATTTTCGATTCTACCTTGACCTAGTCAATTATCAGATTAACTGCAGACTCCTTCTTTAATGCAACATTTGACCTTTAGCTTACACTTTGGGGGGCTTTCAACTGGTAAGCTTTTCTAAGCAGCTGAGGCTCCCCAGGTGAAGTAGGTGTCATCTTCAGAAACTGAAGAACCCAAGTTGTGATACAAGAAAGTTGCTACTTTTGACAAAATTGTTTACATTTCATTGCAACAGCCTGTGCCCAGGTATAATGTATTTTGTTTGCATTTGAAAAACAGAACTTGTTAAACTGGGAAATATTTAGAACCATAGGGAACAAAGAAAAATCATCTAAAAATCCAAGTTAATAACACTCTCAGTTGTATTGTTAATATCTCATCAACTTTTTTCATCATTTTTATGTATGCAAAAGCATAGGTAAATATTATCTCCACCTTACCCCTCACGCCAAATTCAGTCCCTTTCCTACTGATACTTCCCAAAGACAGCCAGTCATGACTTAGGGCACATTAGAGTCCACTTTCTATGGCTTGACAATGTGGTGTTTTAAAGTAAGCCACCTAAATGACATCCTAGAGTAGGTATAGTTGGCATCTTATGATCATTTACCAATATACCTCTGCCATCTAAGCAAGCTGGTCCCCACAGCTATGACTTCTGCTTGTTAAGTGCATATCAAACCATCGTGTAAATACACCACATTTTATCTGTGTACAAATCTTTCCGCTGTGTGTGTGTGTGGGGGGGCAGCCCTTGTGGAGATGAAGCCAACCATCAAAAAGCCAGTGTTTACTTGTTTAGAAGCTGAGTAAGGGAAACAAGCATTGATACCTCCAGCACTCAATTCCACCCAACAAATATCTATTGAAGTCTGTGTGTGTCTAGACCTGAGTCAGTGGGAGGCTGGGGGACCAGGTTGGGTACAAGCTGAGATTTGTCCCAGCCCTATCTGGTTGTGGTAGGTTCTCTGGATTACTGCCTTTGTCTTATTTCTCCTCCCTTTTAACTTTCTAGCTTCCCAACAGTACCCTTAGTAAGCAGATTCTTTAAAAAGAAAAAGAAAATCTAGGCCACCACTCACCTAGTTCTTGGTTCTCCCTTCACTCCTTCCGAGAATCCGACTGGTGCTTCCTCCCAGGGAGGGGAGCCAGCCGGGGCTCACAGCGAACTCATAGAAATGTGGAGAGAGCAAGGAAAGGCACCCACTTGCCTGGTCGCAGGGGCAGCAGCGAGGGCGGGGCGGGGTGGGGCGGGGCTGAGCAGCAGCAGCAGCAGCAGCAGCAGCAGCACCACCGCCACCACCACCACCAGACGGGCACCTGAGGCTGCGGCTGTCCGAGGGGTCCAAGTGCTCTCTGAGTGTGTGACTGGGCTCCAGGGTCTGGCACGGGGGAGAGGACTGGGCAGTAGAGGGAAAAAGGAGAGCGGCTAGTCAGCGGGCGTCCTGGGTCTGGAGCCCTCTCCAGAAACGGCAACCAGTCGCGCTTGGGGTCCCTGCGGTAGGACAGTGATGCAGGAGGGGCTCAGAGCTCGTGGCGTGGACCCTACAGCGCCTTGGCACCTTCCCTAGCCGCCTGCATGCAGAGCGTGCCCCAACTGCCCGGACCAAGACCCCATTCCCCTGAAGTGACCCTGGTCCCCTCCAACACCTCCAGGGCGGTGCCACCGAGTTTGGTGCCTACTGCGGTGGTGGATATGAATGAGGCCTGCAGATCTGAGACAGAGAAAGGCAAGACTTCCTTTAAGACTTTTTCAGGGTATTAGGGGCGAGGCAAGAGAGGGTTGAGAATTGTACAGGTCCCAACAAGAAGGATCTCTGAAGGATTATGATCTAGGGACTTCTTCATTTTACTGCTGGGGAAAGTGAGGCCCAGAGAAGAAAACTGCTTGCCCAGTGTAGCAGAACAATTAATGAAGAGACCTTTTATGAACCCAGGTCTCCTGGCTCCCAGTCCCCATTTTTCCCATGCATCTTAGTCACCCACATGTTCTGTGGAGAAGAGGGCAGGGGACAGTGGCTCAGAGATGGAGGCAACCTCACTGGAAGTTTCTGGGTTCCCTCCCATGGCAGCTCTCTGGACTTCCCCTTTGTAATAACAAATGCAGTTGAAATAACTTCCTACAATTTTCTCTCTATATCGTCACACACATAAGCCACCAGAGAACCAGCATGCAGATTGCTTACTGAGATGGCTTACATTGTGATGGTCTGCGTGCAGGTGGACTGGGGTGGGGACAACTTCTATTCAGCTCTGCATTTCCCTGCCATGTGGAAATGCCAGCTCAGCATTGCCAAATATTCAGATTTTATAAGGGAACTGGAAACCAGAATGCCTGTATGAAATCTCCCATAATTTAAAAAAATCGGCAGGTTTTAAACATGTTAAAAACTGTCAAACAGGATACATCTGTGGCTGTACTGCCTTTTTCAGGCTCCTACTTTTTGATCTGTTTAGGTGTAGAGTTCCACAGAGGGCAGGAAGCAAACCTGCTTTGCTCACCATTTTCTGTACCAGCTAGAAGAGTGCAGTGTGATGCATCTCAAACATCTGCAGAAATTGGGAAAGACATCAGTGGTCACCTTATGCTCAAAAGCCCTATACTGACTCATGAAATATGTCAGAGGAATACTCCTGTTATATTATGACCTAACCCCTTTCCTCATCTTTCTCTTAACTCAGCCATGGCAACATTCTACCCTAGCACTTAATAATTGGAATAACCTTGAACTTCAGTGAAATCACTCTCTCATTTTGCATTGGGTGTCCTGGGGAAGGGACCTCCCAGAATCCTACCCAGTGAGTGAGGAGGAGAACTCAGTAGAAACCTGCCTTATGTTGTCAATTCCTGTCTGAGAGAGGATCAGATGATATAAATGAACATTTAGTGTGAAATTTGGATCAAATACCAAAAGAAGGCAACCAAGTTCAGAAAAAAAAGGATTTTCTTAAGAAATTCATTTTGAGAAATGGGTATTCTTTTCAAAGCAAAAAATCAGGCACTTGGCTGAAAATACCTTGCTTTTGTGTAGCATCTGGCAGTCCACGAAGCACTTTGATTTCCTTCATGGGGTGGGGAATGTGCTATGGTTGGTTGGGCATGTGCTGTCTCCACTTTATTGCCTAGAAAACTAAAATAACAACAGAGTGGGCTGAGACTAGAGTGGAAGTCTCTGGAATTCCCTTTATTTTAGCGGCCTGGTTAACACAAAGGGCACTGAAGTCAGGCAGTCTTTCACCCAAATGCCTGCTCCATCACTTAACACCTCAGAGACATTGGCCAAGTCACTCCGAGTCTCTAAGCCTCAGTCTTCCAACTTCAGTGAAGGGGGTGATGTCATTCCCATCAACTTTGATGGATGGAGGACTCGACAAGATAATGTTTATAATAATGCATTAACACAGTGCTAGGGAGCACAGAGTAAACACTCAGAAACTCAATGGTTCGGGTTGTTGTTGATTAGCAGGTTACCTGGCTCTGCCCCTGTAATTCTCAGATCTGTTTTGTAAACTTTTCTTCTGTGTTTACAATCACTTTCACTTAAAATGACACTACTAACCAGTGCTAATGTATTTAGTCATGGAAAGGCTGGGCATCCCTTAGGTTTTATGGAGAGGTAGTGATTCTTATTACTGTATCATATGCAGTTTATAAAAAGCAGACCTGCTTCACAGAGCTGGGTGTGTTTTAATCTTTTATTTGTTCAGTTGTTCCTACTCTCTTGTCAGTATTCCTATCTTAAACATGCCTTTTGGGGGAACTCTGAGGAGATTGTCACAAAGAAGTTACTTGGGAGACAAACCAGGCTGGATACTTATCAAGATCTCTGGAGCCCTCCAGTGGAGAGGAGAAGGAAATGAAAAGTAAACCAGTGAGAAAATTTTGTCCAGATACCCAGATTTTTACAAAATTAAATAAAAAGTGTTTTACAGCATTAACATTAATGTCACACCAATCCAACCATACACATTCATGTCTTGATGTTGTCCACTGGGTTCCACTGTGTTTAGAGTGAAGCAACACTCTTCCCTCTAGCCCACAAGGCCTCATACCATCTATTCCCTGCCACTTTGCCCAACCCATCTACAATCAGGGTTCCTCAGCTCACTCCCCTCAAGCCACACTGGCTCTCTGCTCTTTGCAGATCACATTGGCCTTGACCCCACCACAGGATATTTGAATGGCTCTTCTTTGTGGATGGACAAGGTTCTGGACCCCTCATCATTTAGCTATCAGCTCACATTTCTCCAGCTCAGACAGACCTTCCCTAAACTCCTTACCTAAAGTAGCTGCCCCACCACTTCCTCCAGGCTCCATGACACACTCTCTGTTCTTCCATCTCACCGCTCATCATAAACTATAATTAATTTGCTCGTGTTTCCTACCATTGAAAGCAGGCCTCTTGAGGGCAGGAATGATCCCTCTGTGTATCTGGTGCTGACCCAGTGTTTGGGACACAGACACTGTTCAGTTAGATGAAAAAATATCTACTATTTCCATCATTCTTATCATGTCTTCATCCAGGAGGAAATTACAAAGAAGACACCTCACACCTCAAAGTGGTAACCATTCTGATGACACAAATGAGCCTTTATTGGGCTATGTTTAAAGGGGGCGCAGATAAGTAAATGATCATTGGACATTAGGATTTTGTGGTTTGGGTAAAGGTGGTCATTACAGACTGAGATTGGTAGATGCCTAAGTGGGGGCCCCCGGAGAGCACTTGCTGAATCAGTTCACTCTGTCTGAAGGAACAGAAGCTTTAGGAACATTTGCTCAGTGTGTTGAAGGATGAGCGGAAGGGCACTGGACAGAGAGCAGGACATCCCAGGTCTGGATACAGGAGGCATACAAAAGTGTAAAATTGGGGGAGAAATATACAAAGTTTAGTGTGACTGGAATATAAGGAGTATAGTATGAGCAAGAGAAGATAAGGGAAGATTGAAGAACCAAATATGCTGTGGGAAACAGCTTAAAGTATAAATATAGCAGCAAGGGGAAGCCCTGAGACCTGTGAAGCAGGAAAACAGACCTCGTTAGAATCGGGGTGTAGTAAGATCCCTCTGCCCTCCCCACATAAGACACAGCACATGTTCTCTTGGTCTGATATGCAAATTATTCTGTTACTAAAATGATGACTCCTCTTTTGTGAAATAAGAAAATTCTCCTTAGTTGTAAAATAACCAGAACCTAGCACAATGTTTCATATTTAGCAAGTTTTCAAATATTTGTTGAATTCAAGTTCATGTTCAGTTTTACCTGGTTGCCCACTCCTTCTGCCAGTGCAATCACTTTTAGAAACTGCATGCCATGCCCTCCTGAAGTTTTCTTTTAGATATTACCTTTGCAAAGACCCTCCATCTTCTCTTTCAATTTCATGGAATAATTGCTGTTTAGAGTTTCTAAACTGCCTTCACACATTCTGTAACCTCAGGTTCATGATTTTTTAAATAACCAAGTCCCACAATGTTTTACCATTTGTCTGTGGTGGGGACTGCACATGAGAGGGACCGGAGGCACAAAGGTAAATAACCCAATCCCAGCTTCTGAGTAGAAAGCATTCCCTCATACATGCTTCCTAAAATAAACGCCTGAATAAGAGAGACAGAGGAAAAACCTGTATGAGTTAAAGCACAGATGAAATGAACATTTATGGTACCTACTGTTTATTCACATCCATGGGCTCATTTATCCCATGGCATTCATTGAATTGCAAATTATTTCATTGCTCTTCCAAAAACTTACACAGTAGAGCAGTGTCGGTAAGAAAAACATTGTTAGTATCACAAAAACCTGAGTTTGTTTCCTCATCCCACCACTTAAAGTTCATGCCCTTGTGCATACCATCTTGACTCTTTATTTCTCTCTTTGAGTCTTTACTTCTTACCTGGGCAGTGTCGGTATTAGTTGTATATACTCCCAAGGAGTGTTGTGAGGATTCAGTGAGATAATGTATGGAAGCACTTTGTGCAATGCTGGGTGCAGAGGGATTACCTAATAATTGCATTATCATTATTGTTGTTGTTGTTATTGTTGTTATTAAATCAAATGTCTCTCTTTGGTACCAAAAGTATGAAGAAACACCCACTTCACTGCAACCTCAACAGCACTGACTGTTTCCAAAGACAATTGCCAGGAGATTTGGTCACAACCCTGAACAGGAGAGATA